CCCCATTAAGTTGCTTTGGCTGGCCTGGTATTTGCCATCCTCTTCCCTCAATTTCCCAGGTAGTTGAGATACAGGAGTAAACTCGGATTACAGGAGTCTGCCACCATGGTGCCCAGTTTGTAAATCATTGAAGTAGCATATTTTGTGGGTTGTATGAGGGTCATTAGTAGTTAATGATTTCTCAGAGGTCACTGGTGAAAAGACATTTAGAGTAGGGACTCTGAATTATAACAATTTATGAAACTTGCCACATTACTTTAAAACAATTATGCTGGGGCTGGGAATGTGGCTCAAGCGTTAGCGCGCTCGCCTGGTATGCGTGCGGCCCGGGTTCGATCCTCAGCACCACATACAAACTAAGATGTTGTGTGCGCCAAATACTAAAAAAGAAATATTAAAATTCTCTCTCTCTCTCTCCCACTCTCTCCCTCTCTCTCACTCTTTAAAAAAAAATAAAACAATTATGCTTTGAAACATTGTGTGTATTCTGATGTGGCTTTTCAGGACATTAGAATATTTTTCATTTCACAACTAAATTTACCTTCTTGGCCCCTCTCCCACCTCAAGTATGGGGTATTGAACCTAGGAATGCTCTACCACTGAGCTACTTTCCCAGCTCTTTTTATTTTTTAGTTTTGAGACAGTTTTGCTAAATTGCCCAGGCTGGCCTCAAACCTCTCTATCCTCCTGTCCTCAGCTTTCTGAATAGCTGGGATTACAGGAGAATGCTACCACAATCCAATCTTCTTTATTTTGCTGTTTATAGTGGTTATATATCTAGATAAATGCTTGATGTTGAAAAGTTGCACTGAAGTTTTCTTTTTGCTTTTTCTTTTCCTTTTTTTTTTTTTGGATTGGGGATTGAAGCTTGGACCTCATGCATTATAGGCAAGTGCTTTACTGAACTGAAGAATATTTTGAACATAAAGGGATGTATATATACCAAATCTGGTCTTTATTAAAGGTTTTAGAGAGCTAAATACAGTAGTTTTAGAATCTTGCTGTAAAGAGATTTCTTCCTGAGTAACCCAGCACTTCCAAAGTGCTTTGATTTTTTTTTTTTTTTGCAATAGTGTTTTCTTTATGGGTTTGAAACAACTCAATACCCTGAATTCGATTACCCTTTGGTTAAAAAAGTCCAGTGCAGTAGCCCCAAATATAGGCACATGCCCATGGTGAATGAAATATGTGCTAAATTGATGTGGAATAAGAATTCAATTCCATGTTTTTAAATAGAGCCATTGTAGCTTAAAGTAGAGAGAGGTTTTGGTCCTAAATCGGGTCTTCGATTTTATACTTTTTTTTTTTTTTTTTTATACTGGGAATTGAACCCATGGCTTCCTGCATTTTAGGAAAATGCTCTACCACTGAACTATATCCCCAGCCCCTGATTTTATGCATTTTGAGTAACTGAGGTATAACTTGATTGATTTAGCTTTTTTTTTTTTTTTAAAGACCTTATACAAATTGCAGGTCTGAAAGTTCTAACTCCTTCTGTCTCCCTGGCATATTTTTACCTTTTTAAAAATTATTGTTTTTTAATTTGCTGCCTATGTACCAAGTTAGAGTAGAGCAGTCTGACTTTTTGCCCTTAATTTTGTTGTTGTTGAGGCAACAGGAAAAACTAGAATCATGTATTATATAGTATAAAATTTATTTCAAGTACAGTGTGTAATTTTCTGTCATTTGGCTCTTTGACATTTTGTAGATTAATGTTTAATAGCTAGTGATTTTAAAGTGTTGCTTAAAACATCTCTGTCCTGGTTTTACCTATAATGATCTAAAAACAAAGATTTAATATTATAGAAGATAATGTTTAAGAAATTCTAAATCTGTTCATCTATTTTATAGGTTTGGGATAACTAAAAAATTGATCTTTGCCTTCTTAGTCATATTTAAATGCACTTAAGAATGTTTTCCATATTTCTGACAAAATAGAACTTTGTAACAAAACCTTGTGCTTTATGGATAAATAAATACAAGGTTAGAAGTTTGCATTGTATGAATTATACACCATTGTAAGAGTGTATAATTGAAACATTACATGCTCATTTACTCTGTAACTTTTGGTGAGTTATCTTAGATTTATTATTTTACAAGGTCATCTTATTTGTGACTTCCACATTTGTTTAACTTTGTTTTGCTGACCTCTGATAGGTATTGCCTTAGCATATTAATTTTAGGAAACCTGTCAAGTTCATAGGTAAAAGCCTGAGGTGTCTTTTTTTTTTTTTTTTTTTGTTACTGGAGATTAAACCTAGGGATGCTTAACCATTGAGCTACATCCCCAGCCTTTTTTATTTTTATTTTTATTTTGAGACAGAGTCTTATCAAGTTGTTTAGGGCCTTGCTAATTTGCGGAGATTGGCTTTGAACTTGTGATCCTCCTGCCTCAGCCTCTGAAGTTGCTGGAATTAACAGATGTGTGCCATCATTCCTGGCTCTGATGTCTTGTATATATCATTTATCACAAATATGTATATTTAGGATAAAGTTATGGTAGAATTTTTATAGGGCTGGAATATTGTTAATTTTACTAGATTGAAATGAACTAAAAAATGATTAGAATGATTAGATATTCTGGAATGAATATCCTTGTAGTGATGACAAGAAGGGTATAAACAGTGTCTTAGAGGAATTTAGGAATATTTTGGGGATGACATAATCATTGTATTCGTACAATAAATATTAACTTAATTAAAGGTTTGTTTGGTTTTTTTGCTTGTTTTTAGGATGGAAAGGCCATTGTGATTGTGTGATAACTACAGTTATCATACTACTAAGTTTCTCACTGGAATCATGGAGGAGAAACAGCAGATTATATTGGCTAATCAAGATGGTGGGACAGTGGCAGGAACAGCACCTACCTTCTTTGTCATCCTAAAACAGCCAGGAAATGGCAAAACTGACCAAGGAATTTTGGTTACTAATCGAGATGCCTGTGCTTTGGCTAGTAAGGTGTCATCACCAGGAAAATCTAAAGGGAAGATTTGCCTTCCAGCTGATTGTACTGTGGGAAGAATCACTGTCACACTCGATAACAATAGTATGTGGAATGAGTTCCATAATCGAAGCACAGAGATGATTCTGACCAAGCAGGGAAGACGCATGTTTCCTTATTGTCGATATTGGATAACAGGTTTAGATTCAAATTTAAAGTATATTCTTGTCATGGATATATCTCCTGTGGATAACCATCGTTACAAGTGGAATGGCCGTTGGTGGGAACCCAGTGGGAAGGCTGAGCCACACGTTTTGGGGAGGGTTTTTATTCATCCAGAATCTCCTTCTACAGGTCATTATTGGATGCATCAACCAGTTTCTTTCTATAAACTCAAACTCACCAACAATACACTGGATCAAGAAGGACATATTATCTTACACTCTATGCATCGCTACCTGCCAAGACTTCATTTGGTACCCGCAGAAAAGGCTACAGAAGTGATACAATTAAATGGTCCTGGTGTCCACACTTTTACCTTCCCCCAGACTGAATTCTTTGCAGTAACAGCTTATCAGAACATTCAGATTACTCAATTGAAAATAGATTACAATCCATTTGCGAAAGGCTTTCGGGATGATGGTCTGAATAGTAAGCCCCAGAGAGATGGAAAACAAAAGAACAACTCTGACCAAGAGGGGAATAGTGTTCCCAGTTCTCCTGGTCATCGGGTTCGTCTCACAGAAGGTGAGGGGTCAGAGATACAGCCAGTTGATTTTGATCCATCAATAAAGTGTATGGAGAAGCCGCCCCTTAATATAAAACAAGACTTTTTTGGTTTCATGGATACTGATTCAGCACTTGAAGTTCCTCAATTGAAGCAAGAGATTTCTGAAAGGTAGGTAATAGGTTTTTAAAATTTTATTATTATTTTTTTAATTTTTAGAAATAAAAAGCTTGGTTGATAAGGGCCAGATTTTTGATTTGACACATTGATTTTGTAGAATACTTTAAACATTGATAAATGTGAGACACTGTAAGACTACAATTGTTTTACATTCTGTAATATGATTGTTCATTTTTCTCAGTTGGATTCAAGATCTAGAATTGAAGCAAATTGGATAATTTATTGGAGTAGAATTTTTTTGTTTATATTTAGAATGTTCTCTTATTAACATCAACTAATAATAATTGAAGAAAAAAGCCTAGGTCATAATTGAAAGGAAATTTATCCAAATGAGGCATAAAATATGTTCAGAGTAAACTTGTTTATGTGTATTGTTTATGATTTGCTACCCTATGGATTTCCTAATTGAAAAACCAGTTGAAAAACCAAGCTAAAGATTATTATATATTAAAGTAGCATGATGTACCGTTTCTTTTTATGCTGTGTAACTGTGAACTTTGTACTCTTTGATCAATACCTCTCACCCCTGGTAACCATTCTTTGATGGCCTCTTTGCAGTGTTTGTCTCTCTGCATCTTCCTTATTTCACTTACAGTGTCTTATAAGCTCATCTGTGTTATCACAACTGATAGGATTTCCTTTTTCTTTTTTTAAATAAAGCTCAGTAATATCCCATTGTAAACATATGCAATCTGGGCACTGTAGCATATAGCAATTTGGAGGATGAGTCAGGAGGATGGGAAGTTTGAGGCCAACCTGGGTAGTTACTGAGACCCTGTCTCAAAAAAGAAAGGGCTATGGTAGAGAACATGCCTACCATGTGTGAGACGCTGGGTTTGATCTTCTGGCACCTCAAAAAAAAAAAAAAATACCCTTGGGATATAGCTTAGTGGTAGGGTGCCCCTTGGGTTTGATCACCAGTATGGAGGGACAGAAAGTATATCTGTATGGTCTGTATGTATTTGTATTTCTGGTTTAGAGTTTTGTGGTTTTTGCATACTTATACAGACTTAACTGTGAGCATCCTGAATCTGAAAGGCTTCAATGTCTGAAATACTTTGAAAGCCAGAACTTTGAGGGTCTGTTAATGCTCAAAAGTTTTGGATTTCAGATTTTGGAGTTTTGGATTAGGGATGCTCAAGCTGTATCACTTGTTCTTTATTCTTTCATCTTTCATCATGCACTTCAATTGTTTCCCTATCTTTACTGCTTTGCTATTGTGAAAAACAATGATGTTTCTTGATATTTGTAATTTTTTTTTTTTTTTTTGAAGATTGAACCCATGGTCTCACACATGCTCATTTACCACTGAGTTACATCTTCAACCCTTTAAAAGATAGGTTTTTGCTAAATTCCCTGGCTGGGTTTGAACTTGTGATCCCACTGCTTCCACCTTCTGACTAGCTGGAATTACAGACACAAGCTATCTTTTGAGTATTAGAATCCAAATTCAGCAAAAGTAAATCTGAGCCCACTTCTTTCCTTTGCCTTCCCTTTCTTACTTATTTGTGTCCTATTAATAGCTACTGTTCTTTATTATAGAATTCCCAGGCATGAGATTCTCTATCTTTATCTGTAGGCAGGTTGGTTTTTTGCTTTTTCAACATATACTTTCCACCATGTTTTTCTTTGTAGTTAGAATTAGCAGATACCAGCTTTAATACTTGATTCTCCACTCAGTTTAATTATCTTGATTATCCAGAGCAATTTAAACAATTGATCATCAATTACAGTAATGATGTTGATGATGATTTTTTTTAGTTGCATATGGACTCAATGCCTTTATTTGTTTTTATGTGGTGCTAGGATCGAACCCAGTGTCTCACACTTTCGAGGTGAGTGCTCTACTACTGAGCTACAACTCCACCTATTATTATTTTTATTTTTTGGTGGTGCTGGAGTTTTCCTCATGCTAGGCAACTACTGTACTACATCTCTGGCTCACAGTTAAAATATTTTTACCCTCATTATCCAAAAGCTTAATATGCTCTTGGATGGTGGAAAATTAATCATTAAAATTCCTTTGGGGGCCTGATGTGGTGGCACATACCTGTAATCCCAGCAGCTCAAGAGGCAGGAGTTCAAAGTCATCAGTAGCAGCTTAGCGAGTCCGTATGCAATTTAGCGAGAACCTGTTTCAAAATGAAATACAAAAAAGGGCTGGGGATGCTAAGTAGTTGAGTGCTCTTGGGTTCAGTACTCAGTACCCAAAACAACCATCCAACCAAACAACAACAGTCCCCCCCAAAATAAAAAACCAAACTTTTGGGGGACTAAAGAATTCTTGTAGCTCAGTGGTGGAGCATTTGCCTAGCAAGGCCCTGTCTTCAGTTCTCAGTAATGGGTACCTTTGGAGGCCAGTAAGGAGTTGTGATAAGGTGAAAGGGTCAGGTGTATTTCTTTGTTATAAATAGCAGCTGATGGATGGGATTATGTATGGTTGAACTTTTGATCTAATGAATTGAGAGAATAGTTCAGAGTTTAATGACTGAGCTTCTTCATAATTGAAGGGGAAAAAAATAACTTGCATCATGCTCCAAGAAATAACATTATCTTCATATGTGAAAATGACATTTAGCTGGATGTAAACTTTGTCTCCAAATGGCCTGATTTATGATCAGAAATTATTTTAAGGCAAGAGTTGGCTATATTAACCTATAGCCTATTTTTTCTGTGTATATAAGAATATGTGACAGAGACTATGATGCTTGCAAGACCTAAAATACATACTCTTTATCCCTTTATAGGAAAAGAAATTATTAACTTTTTATTTAAGGCTTTTATGCATATATGTTAGTTCTACTTCCACAGTTTCTCATTTTCTATTTAGTTGGTTGAAATATGACTGCTGTATCATCTTCTTTGTTTTAGCTAATAATGTCACGTGTGTGTGTGTGTGTGTGTGTGTGTGTGTGTGTGTGTCCGTGTGTGTGCCAAAGTGGGCATCAATCAGATTTCCCTCCTCTTATGGTACCAGGGATTGAACCTAGGGGCGCTTAACCACCAAGCCGCATCCCAAGCCCTCCAGTCAGATTTTGTAAACACACTCATCTTTAGCCAGGCTTTGCTTGCTAAGTGTGTTATTTAGCCATTTCTTCCCACTCTTAATTTTTCTTCCTTGGTCTTTATCATATTATTCAACTGATTCTTCTAACTCTTGATCCTTTCAGTCATTTTCACTGACTTCTCATAATATATTCAGCCATTTAATAAATGATTATTTATTTCCTGGTATTGTGCTCTTGTAGTATTATTATGATTTTGAGCTCTGCTTTCATGTAAGTTTATTATTATTAATTACTTTTTTTGGGGAACAGGATATTGCTGTTTTCCAGACTGGTTTTGAATTCCTAGGCTCAAGTGATCCTCTCACTCCTGCCTCCTAAGTAGTTGGGACTATAGAATTTCCCACCATGCTCCTCATAGGTTGTTTTTTTTTTTTTTTAAAGTCTAATAATGTCTTTAGCTTAGTTTTCATTTTTCTTAGTGTTGCCCTATAGCTCAAACTGATTCTGAAGATTTTAGTCTTAAAACCTGCTCTTTTGTGCTATTGTGGTCATTCAGTTTGTAGATGTATACTTTGTTTTGCTTCCTTTCACAAATCCACATAAAGTCATTCTGATGTTGATGGACATTTTGATTATTATTAGTTTTTTACCGTTATGAATAAACTAACATGAATGTACTTGTGCTCAACTTTTTGTAGACATATGTACTAATAATTTCTGTTTGTTATTTATCTAGGAGTAGGATTGCTGGGACATGAAGTAGACATATTTTAGTACATGCCCCAGAATTTTCCAAAATAATTATACCAATTTTCATTTCCTCAAATAATATATGAGCGTTCCTGTTACTGCCTCATCTTTGTTTATTACATGTAGTAATATCTTTCTTATTTTTAGCTATTCTAGTCTAGCTCAGCTTCCTGAGTTGTTGTAATTACAGGCTTGTGCCTCTGTGCCCAGTGGAAAATATATTTATAAACTATTAAGATTTCTACTTGTGGCCTGGTGCCGTGGCACACGCCTGTAATCCCAGCGGCTCAGAAGACTCAGACTAGAGGATCAAGAGTTCAGAGCCAGCCTCAGCAACCAGGAGGAACTAAGCAATTCAGTAAGACTCTGTCTCTAAATAAAATACAAAGTAGGACTCTGGGGGTGCTAGGGTTCTGGCTCAGTGGTAGAACACATGTGAGGTAATGATTCAATCCTCAGCACCAAATAAAAATAAAGAAAGAAAACAAAGATATCATGTCTTTCTACAAATAAAAAAATATTAAAAAAAAGTAGGACTGGGGATGTGGCTCAGTGATTGAGAACTCCTGAGTTCAATCCTTGGTATGGGGGTCGGGAGAGGTTGGGGTTTTGCTCTCTTTTATTCAGTCATTCACCAAATAGGACTGAACACCTGGTTTCAGAAACCAAATAAAACACATTGCTCTAGGATCTTATATTCTACATAATTCCAGTCTCAGAATTCACAGATTATTCAGCTTTTCCATGTATGGCCTATGCAGATGTTTTATCATTAGGTTAATTGCATTCTGCCATGTAGGGGCTCAGATATACATATTTTTCTCCTAAAAAGCACATCAGAAATAAGAAAGAATGACCTTATTATAGGGAAAACCACTTTGATTTAATAGGGAAAAAAAAAAAGAATTCACATGTGAAAATTAGACATGAAAATAGTTTTGTAAAGATAAGTTTTCCTGTTTTTTGGTCTGAAACAGTATACATTATATGTCAGCCTTGTTGGAGAGGCTACATTCTGGGCTGGTGTTGTAGCTCAGTGGTAGAGTGCTTACCTGGCACATGTTCATCTACAACTAAAAAATATTTAAAAAAGGGGCTACATCCTATAAAATGGATTTGATCACTCATCTGTGGATGGATGTGGAGACTGTTTCATATTTTTAGCCATTATAAATACTGCTTCAGTAAAATTTCCTATGCACATGTCCTTATACATTTTTATAGATACAAAGA